CTCTGGTGAGGACCTTGGCTTTTATTCTGAGTGAAATTGGAGTCCAGGCCAGCGCGCAGAGCGGAGGAAAGCTAACCAGACTGCGTGGCTGTGGGGTGGTGGGCACTGGGGATGATTAAGGATCCTGGTGGGGTGTCTGTCTCTGTGTGCCTGTCTCTCTCTCTAATGGAAGAAATAAAGTCAGGGGCACAGACGGAGGCAGGGGGCCGTGATGAGCTGGCAGCCATTGTCCAGTGTGGGCGGTGATTGGAAGCCAACGTGGCCACACTCTGTCTGGAAATCCAGAGCCCTGCACAGAGGCAGAGCGAGGTGATGGGGTTATGGGTGCCCCCGAGGCCCGTGTCCCAGGCCAAGGTCTGCCCTGGCCCCCATCGTCTCTGGCCATGCCATCCAGGTCTGATCCCTGGTGCAAGCGCCCCATCCCCAAAGCTCCTCTCTTGTCCCAGAGCCCGAGGGGAAGTGGACAGGAAGCAGGAGGAAGCTCTGGGTCGATCCCAGTGTCCTGGCCAAACTGTTCCCAGCATGGGAGGATTTCCGGGCCTGAATGGCCGGAAGCACGGGGATGGGACACCTCACCCAGGAACAGTGGGTAGAGGGGGCAGGAGGAGGGCCCTACTCCACCTCGCTCCCATTGCTGCTGGACAGAGAACCCAAGCAGCTGTGGAAGCCCGCTGTGGCAGCAGCCTGAGGGGCTATGGTTAGAGGTCAGGAGGGCATGTTGGCAACGAGGAACTCTAGAATCAGACCTGGGAGGGCTGCCAGACCTCTTCTCAGTGCGCAGCCCTGGCCTCAGGAACTGGGGGAAACACAGTTTTAAAGTTTATTCATATGTCTTCCATAAGAGGGACACACAGAAAGAGAGACAAAGAGTCAGAGAGAGAGAGGCATCCCCCACCAGGGTCTTCAAGCCACAATCCATGCATCTCATGCAGCCCCAATGACGGGTGTGCATGCTCACGTACCCAGCACACTCAGGGAGGTGCCAGCCTGCAAACCCCAGCCCTGCTCCATGGGGGCCTGCCGGGCCACCGCTGTGCCACCCACTGCTGAGACCGCCCTACCCCCACCACTCGTTTTAGCTCAGCTTTCTTTTTCTCTTTCTTTCTTTCTTTCTTTCTTTCTTTCTTTCTTTCTTTCTTTCTTTCTTTCTTTCTTTCTTTCTTTCTTTCTTCTTTCTCTTTCTTTCTTTTTCTTTTTTGAGAGGTTTTTGCTATAGGGTCTGTGTGCTCACCAGACAGACAGAGAGAGACAGAGAGACAGAAAATAAAAAATCACCCCCCAGGGGAGATGGCCACGCCGCAATCCCTTCTCCTCTATTCTCTTCTCGGGATCTTGGGCACGCACGCACACACTCCCAGCATGAGTTTAAGCCACCGGGTCTGGGACTCGAACCGCAGTTGGCTACATGGGAGTTCAGCGACATAGCTGTTACGCTAACTGCTGTCCCAACTTTCTTCTTCTTAAATGAGAGCGTCCTGTATTTGAGGAAATACCTCTTTAGTGTTTGATCTCTCCTTCCCACCTTTCAGATGGGAAGACTGAGACCTTTCCTAGCCAGAGGCCCCGCACCCAGCCTAACAGCCTCAATGATAATGGTAGTGGCTAACAGAGCTTGTTTGCTGTCCATGCATTCCCTTAAGCAATATGTGTTGAGCGCCTACTATGTGTCCGGCACTGTGCTGGGGACAGGGATCTCAACAGTGAAGGACTTAAAGTCAATACTTGGGCCAGCCCCAAGGCCTGGTGGTTAAGGGAGCCGGATCTTGGGAACCAGCAGTTAGAGTAATGGCTATGTCACTGGACTCCCACGTAGTCGACCGCGGTTCGCGTCCTGGACCCAGTGGCTTAAAACTCATGCCGGGTGCGTGTGCGTGCGTGCCCAATATCCCAAGAGGAGAATGGAGGAGAAGGGATTGCGGTGTGGCCATCCCTCCTGGGGGGTGATTTCTCACTTTCTGTCTCTCTGTCTCTCTCTGTCTGTCTGGCGAGCGCACGCGCCCTATAGCAAAAAAATCTCTCAAAAAAAAAAAAAGGTTTGAATCCTAGCCCCAATGGCTTGGAAAACACACCAGGCATGTGCGTGTGCCCCAAATCTTGACAGGATGGAGAAATGGAGGAGAAGGAATTGTGGCATGGTAATAGCCCATGGCGGGGTGAGGGAGGCTTCTCTCTCTCCTCTCTATCTCTCTAGCTCTTTCTGGTGAGCACAGGCATCCCATTAAAAAAGAAAAAAAAAGTCAACAGTTTCATGGAGGCTTGAATAATTAATAACCAATAAATAAATGTAAAGTATTCATTTTCGGTTGGGATTGGGAAACCGAGGAAATAAAACCAGATTGGGAACAGAGTGAAGGATGAGGTGGGGTGGCCAGGGAAGACTTTTCTGAGGAGGTGACATTAAGCCAAGCCCTGAATAAAGTGGGGAGAATGGTGAGCCACATTCAGACCTGGGGAAGAGCATTATTATTATTATTATTATTATTGTTATTATTTTAGATTTCTTTTTTTGACATAGGGTATGTGTGCTCACTGAAGAGAGACAGAGAGAAGAAATCCCTCCAGCTCTGGGGAGATGGCCATGCCACAATCCCTTCTCCTCCATTCAGGATTTTGAGCACACGTGTACGAATGCCTGGTGTGTTTTTTAGGCCCCCAGGTCCGGGACTCGAACTGCTCGCAAAGTGAGCCCTGTGGGATCCAGTGCCTTCATCAGCAGAATGCCGCTCCGAGGTTTCTAGGCGGAGAGAGAGCAGCATGTGCAAAAGCCCTGTGGCAGGAATGAGCTGGCAAGGAGACCCAGACAGCTGGGGCAGAATGAGGGGAACAGGATGATGGAAGGGACCTGTGGGGACTTGCTGAGGGAGGTGGTCAGGCGCCTCTAGGCCACACAGGAGCACAGCATCTGATTCCTGCCTGTATTTCTGACACAATTACAGCACCCTCTTCACTCTCACAATGGCAGAAAAACGGTGGTTTGAAAGCTAAGTTACATGGCCATGGAGCGTTTACATTTTTTTTGAGAGAGATTTTTGCTATAGGGCACGTGTACTCATTGGAGAGATAGAGAGAGACAGACAGAAAGTAAGAAATCAGCCCCCCCCCCCAACAAAAACACACGGGAGATGGCCACACTGCAATCCCTTCTCCTCCATTCTCCTCTTGGGATTTTGGGCACGCACGCATGCACCTGGTGTGAGTTTTTATTTATTTATTTATTTATTTGTTTGTTTGTTTGTTTTGGAGAGGTTTTTGCTAAAGAGTGTGTGCGCTCACCAGAAAGACAGAGAGAGACAGAAAGCAAGAAATCACCCCCCAGGGGGGATGGCCACGCCACAATTCCTTGTCCTCCATTCTCCTCTCGGGATCTTGGACATGCACGCACATGCACCCAGTGTGAATTTAAGCCACCGGGTCCTGGACTCAAACCGTGGTCTACTACATGGGAGTCCAGCAACATGGCCATTATGCCAACTGCTGGTCCCAACCCGGTGTGAGTTTTAAGCCACTGGGTCCGGGACTCCAACTGCAGTTGACTACATGGGAGTCCAGCAACGTAAACTTTACACCATCCGCTGGTCCCGAGACTTTAAATTTTGTTCTTCAGAGATGAGAGCCAGGGTCAGCCCATGGCTTGGCGGTTAAGGGAGCTGAATCCCACATGGCCGACTCTGCGATTTGGTTCTCAGACCTGGTGGCTTGAAAAACGGGCCATGCAGGTGTGTGTGAGTATGCCCAGCATCCTGGCAGGAGGGAGAAATGGAGAAGGGACTTTGGCGTGACTATGCCCTATGCCCTAGGTGTGGGGGGGTTCTCTCTCTACTCTTTCCTGTCTCTCTCTGGTGAGCACACATGCCTTCTGGCAAATTAAAAAGCGAGAAGGAGAGAGATGGGAGCCACTGGAAGGTGGGGGTGGTGCACACTCCCCGATTTGTCTGGGTTGTAACTATGAGTGCCACTAGGGGAGCGGAGGGTGACTGGGGGTGCGAGAGCCGATGCAGCGAGCCAGAGAGGGCTGTCGTGCCCTCCAGGGGCGGCCAGGCTGGAGGGCTGAGTGTGACTGGAGCGGGGTGGACCCATGGAGAACAGGTCAAGACCCACTCAGAGCTGAGCAGCGGGCTTCCTGATGGGTTGGGTGTGGACGAGAGTGAGAGGGAGGGGAATGGAGGACCATGGGGTTTTGGCCAGTGCAGCAGGAAGTTGATGACGTCACCCAGATAGAGAAGGCGGAGGGGAAGTCAGCTTGGCCCGCAAGCAGGCTCAGAGCAGCAGCGGTCCTGCTTCGTACCTGATGAGTTCGAGATGTCTTCAGGCATCCGAGGGCAGCTGCCCAGGAGCAGTGGGGTTTCTGAGTCTGGTGCCGAAGGAGCAGCTGCCAGGACGGAGTAGGGGTGGCACTCAGGCCATGGACTGGAGGGAGAGGCTCACTGTGGCCTTCATGGGGAAGGATGGTATTTGCTGACACCTTGAAAAGCAGCCGCCTCTGGCCTCTGGCTTCTCTAGACCCCATCGGGGCCACCTGAAGGTGGAGGAACTTGATTGTGTGGCCTGCTGTCCCTGGCAGTGGCGCTGCAGTTTGCTGGGCAGTTTGCGGGGCACCAGGGAGTGAGTGTAGGGCAGGAGGGGGGCATCTGAGCCCAACCTGGGCCCGACCATGTTTGGAGTCAGGGATGATGGAGGGGGGTGGTGAGCAGGCAGGGAGTGTGGTGAAGAAAGTGATTCAGGAAGCAGGCCCTGGGGTGAGCAGGTCACATTCATCTCTTTACCTACAGGAAACGGGCTCAGAGAGGTGAAGGGGCTCACCCAGGGTTGCACAGCTGCAGAGTGGAGAGGCAGCTGGGCCAGTGGACTCCAGCAAATGCTCTTGTCTGCCGTGGCCGCTCCTGCCTTCAGGGTGCACCCTCAGGGCCCCAAGCGCTAAGTGTGGCCTCAGACATGTGGGCAGAGACTGGCAGCCGGGAGCCACGCAGGGCTGGGCACTCACCTGTCTTCTCTCCTTCCAGGGCCACCGGAGAGCCAGCGGCTGGCGAGGACTACGTGAAGGTAGGAGGGGCTGGGCCAGCGTTGTTTAGGGGACCCTGAGGCTCAGCGTTGTTTAGGGGACCCTGAGGCTCAGAGCCTCTCCTGTGATGGGCAGGTCCCTTTCAGACCTCACTGTGTGTCCCCAGGATGGGAGGGTCCAGGGACTGGGCCAGCCTCTTCTTCCCGTGCCTGCCACCATTCTCTGGTGCCCCAAACTCGGGGCATCCCAGTGCTTGCCCAGCAGCTGCCAGCTGGCAGGGCCCAAGGCTGTCCGTGCGAAGGCTGCATGATCAGGTCCTGCCTGGTTGTTGAGCACCTACTCTGCGCTGGCGCTGGGAGGTGGGAGGGAAGGATGACTTGGTTCTTCGTTGTAAATGCCAGGTGCAGCTCACATTTAACCTTAAGTTGTCCTGGGTACTGGGAATGTCGGAAATGCTGTTCTGGAATATGATGACAAGGATAATTCTAACCAGCAGTCGAGTGCCTGCTATGTCAGACCCTGTGCTGGCTCTGGGCACTGGAGAAGAGGCATTCTACTCTTTCTTTTGGAGAGATTTTCCTATAGGGCGCGTGCGCTCGCCAGAAAGACAGAGGCAGAGAGAAAGAAAGCACGAAATCACCCCTCAGGGGGATGGTCACGCCGCAATCCCTTCTCCTCCATTCTCCTCTCAGGATCTTGGGCACGCATGCACATGTGCCCGGCATGAGTTTAAGCCACCGGGTCCGGGACGTGAACTGCAGTTGACTACATGGGAGTCCAGCGACATAGCCATTATGCTAACTGCTGGTTCCTTTTTTAAAAAAATTGATGGTAGCACATACACATGCATGAGAGAGAGAGACCCCGGCAGGCCAAGACCCCACCCTCCAGTCCTTCAGCTCATCAGCATCCTGGACGCATGTGTGCACGCCTGCCACCTTTGGGGCCAGGCAGGAGACCTACACCTGCAGTTGACCATGGGACAGCTGGCGCTACAGCTCAGGACACAGCTGTGCCACCTTTCCCTTTTTCTCTTCTGTTTTTTTTTTTTTTTTTCTGTTCTTTTTGCTATAAGGGAGCTGGCAGGTGGTGTGGTGGTTAAGGGTGCTGGACTCCCACATGGCCAACTATGGCTGGAGTCCTGCACCTGGTGGCTTACTTTCTCTCTCTCTCCCGCTCTGGTCAAATTAAAAATAAATAAATATATAAATAAAGTTAAATAAAATACTTCTGTAATAAAATAAAATTTGCTATAGGGCACACCACAGTCTCTTCTCCTCCTTTCTCCTCTCAGGACTTCGGGCACAAGCACACACACACCTGGCATGTTTTTCAAGCCACCAGGTCCGGGACTGGAGGTGCGTAGCCAGTCATGTGGGATCCAGCTGGCTGGCCCCGTTTTTGTTTTTGTTTTTTTTAGTTGCCAGAGAGCATATGTGCTGCCCATCGGAGAGAGGAAAGTACCCCCCGATGGGGCTTAGTCACCTTGCAGTCCTTCCTGTTCCTTCCCCTCACCCTGCAGGATGTTGGGCATGCATGTACACACGCCTGGGGTGGTTTTCAAGCTTCCAGGCTGGGACTCAAATCATGATTGGCCATGGGAGGTCATGCTGAGCAATGGGGCTGGCCCTCTTTTTTTTTTTTTTTTTTAAAGAAAGAGTCTTAGAGCCAGCAGGTGGTATAGCAGCTACATTGATGGACTCCCACATGGTCTACCACAGTTGAAGTCCCAGTCCTGGTGGCTTAAAAATCACACCAGGCTTGGGACCAGCAGTTAGTGTAATGACTATGTCGCTGGACTCCCATGTAGTCTACTGCGGTTCGCGTCCCAGACCCGGTGGCTTAAACTCACGCCGGGCACGTGTGCGTGCGTGCCCAAGATCCTGAGAGGAGAACGGAGGAGAAGGGATTGCGGTTGGCCATCCCCCCGAGGGGATTATTTCTCGCTTTCTGTCTCTCTGTCTCTCTCTGTCTGTCTGGTGAGTGCACGCACCCTATAGGAAAAACCTCTCCAAAAAAAAAAAAAAAAGAAAAAAAGTAACTTGAGACCCAGAAAAAGGCAGTGACTTGCCCACAGTCACACAACTGTTATGGGGGGGAGATGGGATTGCACCCCAAGTTTGACACCAGGACTGCAGACAGAGCCCCTGACCTTCCTCTACTAAGAGCACTGGCCTTGAGCTGGGCCCTGCACTCGGTACTGAGACACAGCAGAGGGCACACGGCACCAGGCCTGCATCCATAGGGCTCCAGTGTTGGAAGTCATGTGGCCGTGTAGGGGCCAGGGCAGAATCATACAATGTTTGGAGCTTGTGTGTTGCAATCCATCAGACCTAGGTTTTAGTCCCAGATCCACCACTTGCTTGCCACTGACTTGGGGTGTGGGTGCCTCAATGTTTGCTTATGTGAAGTGGGGGCAACAGGGGCCCCTGCCCGTGGGTGGGGAATCTAAGTAGAATAGCAGGCTGGGCTGCTCCTGATCAGGGACTTTCCATCACCCTGCGATGCTACCGGTAAGGCTCAGGAAGTGACCAGCAGCCATGTGGCAGCGTTGGAGGCATGCAGATCCCACTATCACATGGAAACTCTGGTCAGAAGCCATGGAATCAGACCAGCCCATGGCATGGTGGTTAAGGCACTGGGTCCCACGTGGCCAACCACGTAGTCTGAGTCCCAGACCTATTGGCTTGAAAAACACAGCAGGTGCATGTGCGTGTGTACCCAAAATCCCACAAGGAGGGAGAAATGGAGGTGAAGGGATTACACCATGACTATTCCCCATAGTAGGGGTTCTTTCTCCCTCTTTCTCTCTCCTGCGCCCTCTGGCAAAATTATAAATAAATAAGCCGAAGGAGCTGCAGAGGAAGGGGCTGACTTTCAGCTAGGAAGCTTGGGAGCAGGTGATCAATGAAGGCTTTCTGGAGGAAGCATTGAAGCTAGGCCATTGCAGTTGACCAGGAGCAATCACCAATACCTCTTCCTGAATGAAAAGCTGCAAGGGAGACAAAAATAAGCAGAAGTGGGTTAGAGGGTCGTCAGGCAAGAGGGCAGGCAGTCAGAAAGCAAGCTGCCCGGGACTGCAACCAGAAGCCACTTCTGGAATCGGGCCTCAGCACTTCCTCCAGGCCCTAGTAATATGGGGGGCAGAGAGGGGAGAAAGGCCAGGGGGAGAACCAGCTCCAAAGCCAGAGGTGAAACCCAAGGGGGCCTGGTTCAGCACCCTACAAATCCCACCAGTCTGGTGGTCGGACTCCCTATGAGGATTGCTAGCTTTGTATTTTTTTCTTTAGTTTATGGGGTTAAAAAATGTAGGTTTTCTGGATTGGCAGGTGGCATGGTGATTAAGGTGCTGGACTCCCGCATGGCTGACCATTGTTCAAGTCCTGGCTTGCTTTCTCACTTTCTCTCTCTGATCAAATTAAAATAAATAAATAAATAGATGAATGAATAAATAAAAAGTTAAATAAAATCATTATTTTTTAAAAATGTAGGTTTTAGGACCAGCAGATGGCATAGAAGTTACAGCACTGAATTCTACGTGGCTGATTGTGTGGTTTGAGTCCCAGACCTGATGGCTTGAAAAGCATGCCAGGTGTGTGTACTCACATGCCCCAAATCCCAACAGGAGAATGGAGACGGGATTGGGCATGCTGTCTCCCCCAGGGGGTGCTTTCTCGCTTTTCCTGTCTCTGTCTCAAGAAAGTACAGCTGCCCCATGGCAAAAAAAGAAAAGCAAAAATAGGTAGATCTTCTTTATCATGTTTATAGAATTTTAATTTAATTTATTATTATTATTTTAATTTGACCAGAGAGAAAGGGAAAGTGAGAAAGTAAGCCACCAAGTCCAGGACTTGAACTGTGGCCAGTCATATGGAAGTCCAGCAGTAGGTACATTTAAAAAAGATGCTATAGGAACCAGCAGGTGGCATGATGGTTAAGGTGCTGGGCAGTCCCACATGGCTGACAACGGTTCAAGTCCTAGACCTGGTGGCTTGCTTTCTCACTTTTCCTCTCTCTTTGTGTCTCTCTCTGGCCAAAATAAAATAAATGAATAAATAAATAAAATAAAATAAATATATTTTTAAAATATACTATAGGGACCAGCAGTTAGTATAATGGTTATGTCGCTGGACTCCCATGTAGTCGACCGTGGTTCGCATCCCGGACCTGGTGGCTTAAACTCACGCTGGGCACGTGTGCGTGCGTGCCCAAGATCCCGAGAGGAGAATGGAGGAGAGGGGATTGCGGCATGGCCCTCCCACCTGGAGGGGGATTTCTCGCTCTCTGTCTCTCTGTCTGTCTGTCTGGCGAGCGCACGCGCCCTATAGAAAAAAATCTCTCCAAAAAAAAAAAAAGATACTATAAAAGAAGTCATACGTGCTCACTGGAACTGATTAAATAATCCTTTAAAGAATAAAGTCAAAGCATTTAGTTTCAGTTTGAAGTCTCCAGTGAGAATTGAAGTCAATAGTCAGATTCCATAAGTCCATTCCTTTGAAGAGTCAGCTTCTAGAACATCACAGTTTTCAAACCATGGTGTGAGCACTTTGCTTCTAAGGCAAGGACTCTAAAATGCTGAGACCATAAAATTCCAGGTTCCAAGCCTCAATTTTCAGAGGCGGGTACAGAAAACAAACAACTGAGGCCTAGAAAGGTGGACCCAGGTCTGAGGTCACGCGGTCTGCGCGAAGGATTTGGACCCCAAGCCTGACTCATACAGAATTAGCAAAGGCTCCCTTGGCATTGAAGAGTCTATGATTCCAGAACAAAAAGTCCGGATTGTAAGACACAAAGCTTGAGAGTGCTAGCGTTTACGGAGCACCTGCCTTAGGCCGGCCCTTTACCTTACCCGCCTCAGCTCGGCCGGGTCAGCGCAGGTCCTGGCCGCACTTGCCAAATGCCTTTTCCACATGGGTGAACTGGGGCTCCCAGAAAAGGGCCGGTGGAAGTGGGGCACCGGTACTTAGGGAGAGGCTGAAGTCTGCGCCAGGCTGGCCTCCCGCCCGCTGAGCTTCACCGGCTCTCTGCACCCCCGGGTTCTCAGCGGAGTCCCTGATTCCAAGTGAGGGACGAGAACTGGGCTCTGGGAGATTTCCCGAGGCCACAAAGGATTTGGTCAGGCACAGACAGGAATTTTTACAGCTTTAGATATGATTTAATTCAAAGTCTCTGCCGGCTCCGGATCAGTCAGGGATGCGGCGAGTGGGGTAGCCGGAACCTGCCCTTGCCCACCCAGGGGTCCTCACCCCATCCCGCTGCCCCCGGGTCGCCCCCGCTGGCGGGTCCTCGGCTCCGCGCCCCCCGCTCCAGGCAGCTTGGGTGCGCGGGACTGAAGCGCCGGGGGCGAGGGGCTGGGAG